TCTGCAGATGTACAACAGTTGGTCACTGGTGACCTCAATAAGAGAAGTGCTGGGCTTACCGAAGGTAGAACGCCAAGCTGCTGTGGGTGGCAGAGTGAACAGGAGATGAAGAAAATAACTCAAAACAGAGGGAAGGAATGGCAAGGGAGAACCACTTATTAAGAATGGGCACAGCTCACAAACCAGAAAAAACCAATACCATTTCATTTTTTGGCAGGAAGTAGATTTGAAGATTAGAGCAATGATTTGGATATAACAATTATACAGCAAAATTGTACTTGTGGAAAAAGACCTCCTTCTCTATTTCTGTAACAATACATTCTCCATGTTCTCCTGTTATCTAGTTCACCTATTTTTCTTAAACAGACATATCCATCCCCTCTCCCAAGTGCTATCCCCAACTATTTCTTTCCCCTTCCCTCTGAAGGCAGTCACACACTCCTAGGTAGAAGAAGACCCCCTAGTCAGCTTCTTCTAAATAGCTCTATCCAACTCTTACTGGCTCCCCAAACTTGCCCCCAAATGAAGTCATGTGCCATAGACTCACTCAAGCACTTTCACAGACAGATGTGGGTTTAAAATCTGGCTCTACCTCTAGTCAACTGAATGACCTTGGGATCCTGTGAGGAATAAGTGAGATACAGTCTGGGAAGCACTTTGCTTGGTGCTTGGGTAAGTACTAAGCCTGATTTATTAATTAGTATTATTATTAAACCATCTTTGCTTCACTCCTTCCTCTTACCAAAAGTTTGCTCTATTTAATAGCTAAAAACACCTTTATGAAGCCTAAATTAGATCGTATTAGCTAAAAACCCACCAAGAGCTCACCAACAGAAGTCTTAAGTTTAGTAAAAAAGCATAATCTGCTTCAACTTTTACAACTACACCTTATTCAACTACTCATCACACATTGTGCTCAAGCCAAATCATATCACCAATTACTGCCAATATACATATAGCAGTTGTATTGTAAGTACATTTAAGCTCATACAAATGCACAGCAGGGAAGGTAATCAGGAGGGAGGGCAAAGAAGGGAGGTATAGGGGAGAGAATGACAGCAGGAGGAAGAGAACATGATTTGGAGTATACATTTGCTATTCCTCTACAGAGTTCCTCTGACCCTCCCAGAATTATGATGTTGAGTATGACTTTAGTGGTTGAAGACTGGAGTTATTCATACAACTTGGCCTTTCTACATAAGCCAACTATTTTGCCTGGTGCTCAAGTGAAGAAAAGGGATTTACTCCTTCACTGGACGAAAACGTAACTGTGTTAGACTTATGGAGACATGGTATGTGTGCTATTTTATGGATGAGCTGGGGCATCTTTCTGGTGCAAGAGTTTGGTTTTAAGCTGGCTTAAGTGTTATTCCTTTCTTTTCTCCCTGCCTCCTCATTTTCATCTGTCACACAAAATACATTCTTCCCCAGAATGCACAGCTTTTTTAAAAAAACTCTGACTCCTTGGGCTAGAACATCCAGTGGCTCTATCACTGAATTTCTTTCAATCTATTTATTTATATGCACTAACTGTCACTTGAAGAAAGGACCTATATCATGTATTTATAAACCCTCAGGGCCTAGCCTAGAGCCTTGTATACAATAAGCAAAGACTCGCTAAATCAAAGAAAGGGAGCGATGTTGGCTGCTGAAAAGGACATTTTTAGCAATGGCTGAATGACAATATTTCAAAAAGGGAGGCTTATAAAGCAAGGCCTAGGGGTCTAGACTTTTGGTTAACATTTTCAAATGGTGTGTCAATTGGTGTGTCAACAGGTACTCAAGCTGGGAGGAAAATTGTTAATATCATGAGAAATATAATCAAGATTTAAATGATCAGACATTTTATAGTATATGGCAAAATGGAGTATAGATAACAGTGTAAGTGCACCTAGGTTTAAAGAAACAACAGTAACACTATAAATTATAAGTGGAAAAACACCCAAATTTTGTGTGTCTAATTTCAACACAGGACAACTTTATAACAACATAAATGTCAACGCCTAACATTTCAAATATTGACAGGAACAATAATAAACTGGAAGGAGTCTCCAAGGATAACAAGAATAATGAGGGTGGGGTAGAGAATGGAAAAGATGATAGAGGTGATTAATGTTTAAATTAATGACAATCAGGTATCAAGAAGAAAAGGCTATGATAATTTTTCCTTGTTCCTTTTTCCCTCTCACCTAACCACTTAATCTATGAGCAATTCCTAAGAGCTTTAGCTCCAGAAGAGTCCCTAGTTTGACCCCCTATTTTCACAGGGGTTCTCTGTCCAGGTGGTTGGTCTCTACTGTTACAATTGCCTCCTAATTTGTCCTCCCTACTTCTAAGCTTACCCCGTGGAACCCATTCTAGACAAAGCAACTATATCCATTTTCTTTTTTCGAGACAGAGTCTTGCTCTTTCACCCTGGCTGGAATAAAGTGGCACGATGTTGGCTCACTACATTCTTCACCCGCCCAGGTTCAAGCAATTCTCCTGCCTCAGCCTCCTGAGTAGCTGGGACTACAGGTGCCCGCCACCATGCCCAGCTAATTGTACTTTAGTAGAATCGGGGTTTCACCATGTTGGCCAGGCTGGTCTTAAACTCCTGACCTCAAGCGATCCGCTTGCTTCAGCCTCCCAAAGTGCTAGGATTATACGTGTGAGCCACTGCGCCCAGCCACTAAATCCATTTTCTAAATTTAAAGTAAAACCTATTCCTTTCCTGCTTAAAATCCTCTATGGCAAGCTGTAACACCTAGAATTAATAAACTTCTTACCACGTCCAGAAAGTCCATGTACAATCTTGTTTCCTGCTTGCTTCATTAAGTTTATCACCATCACTCTTCCTTTCTCTCATTCAGCTATAGTCGCCCTGGTCTTTCTGTCCCATAAACATGCCAAAGTTATTCCCAATTTAGCCTTCACCTGTTCTCTATATATGAAAAGTTCTACCCATAGATCTTCGTGTAGTTGACTTCATCTCATTATTCAGAGCTAAGCAGAAAACTCACTCTCTCAGACCAGTTAAGCAAAAGTAGCACTCTGACCTTTCCTCCTCCCAAATATTATTGTATTTTATCTTATTCATATAAATAAATTATTCATATAAAATAATTATACTGTTTTTTCTTGTTCTACTAGAATTTAAGTCTCCAGAGGACAGAAATTTCATCTTAAATGCTGGTATGTCTATCATCAGTGCCTAGAATAGTCTCTGGCATGGAGTTAGTTTTCAAACATTTGTTGAATGGGATTTATTCTGCATAAATCCTAAATATATTTAGGAAACTGGGACCAAATGACAGGTAGACTTCAGGCCACTTTGTAAATAACTTTCAAGAATTATAGTGAGACGAAAAGAATATTTAAGAAGTCACTGGATGACCACAAATTATGAATATAGATGTCATTACTGCATCAAGCAGGAGCTGATTATGTGACCTTAAAATCCTTTCTAATTATAAAATCCTAATCTACCCATAATGTAATGAGTTACTTTCAGTCTATATAGCTGTTACATAAATGGCTTCTATACTGAACTACCTTTAAGTGATCTAATGACTTAGCATCTAGTTTATGACCACCTCCAACTTACTAAACATCTTCAGTGACTTTAGGTCATTTTTATCTCAAAAAAAAAAAAAAAAAAAAAAAAAAAAAAACCCCCACCACTGAGCTTGCTATTCAGGGTAAAGTACCATTCTGAAGTATAACAGGATAAATGGAGAGACAATTCCCCACCCCACTATAAATTATATTTATGGAGAATATGGTACCTAAGATCCAATGCTGTAAAGAATTTGTACATTACTTACTATGATTTGGTATTGGTCCTTTTTGTCTCCCCTATCCTTCTACCCATGACTAGATAAAACGGTGCAATTGAGAAAACGCTGTGTCATAAAATAATTCATAGGCATGTTACATTGGCCACACAACTTTTGTTTAAATAAAAGTTTGGATCCAGATTTGAAATCATTTTAACAAATCAGGATTACTTTCAAAAGATAATATTTTGAAAACAACACATGCTGACCAAATTAATATATCTGCAGGAGAAATACTTTATGTAAACACTATGTTAACAAAGACTAGGACAAATTTATTTTTTATCAATGAATATAAAGCAGTGTATTCCAAAATGAGCTTTTGGGAAAACTAATTCTTCAAAAGATATTGGTCAAATAAGCTTGGGAAATACTGTACACTGTAGCTCTTCTCCCCTATTCACAAATTACATTAACACATAAAGTATCTAAAATACTTTACAAAAAATAAATTAAAAAATATTTTAAATAAAGAACTTGTTCACTTGCTGAACTTTAATCTATCATTTCTCATATTGCCTTAGCCAGAATTCCCCATCTTTTGGGGACAGAGTTAGTAGCAGAAAACAGTTTAGGGAAACACTGATATATAGCATTGTTTGAAAACAGTACCTCTAAATAGATTTACAAAATGGCTAAGATAGAAATTCTGAAAACAAACGAGAAGCTTACTGGTATATATGTATTCAAACTAGGTCCCTAGATAAGAATTTATATAACTTACATTTAAGTTTAAAAGTAGCTCAGAAGAGAGACACTTAAAAGACAGATAATGTAATTGAAAATTTAAAAATTAGCATTTTAGTCAAATCCCTATATTAACTGCTAATTTGTCTGTGACAACAAATATTCTGTGATGCCATTTTACCCTCAAGTTACTAAAGATAGATATTCAATATTAAAACTAAAGTTCTCCTGGGATATCAGAGAGAAATGGGAAAGAAGCACAGGTTTGTGAATCTACTGATTTTATAATCATACATGTCTTTTTTTCCTTTCTGTGCCACAGTGGGCTATTTGAAAGGGAAAAATATTTTTAACATGTGGATTCTCTTACTACATTCTGCTACACTTCTGGACTATTGTGCTTTGACGTCGACATAATTCTAAGGGAGAAAAAAATTTTAATAGTTAACACTCCCCAAAAAGAGAGGGACTACAGCAGTTTTAGAAAACACTTACTTAATCATTTCAAAAAGCTTTGGATCTGAGACCTTGATATTTCGTGCCATATTCCAGGAAAGATGAACCATGGGTACTATTGACTTCACACTTTGCAATTTGTTCCATTCGTACCGTTCCACTGCCAATTTATACTGGCAGGCTAGGAAAAAAAAAACAGTTATAAAGCAACCCAAAGTACCAAAAGATATGAAGATAACCATTATCACCTGCTCAGGTGATATCTTCAACATTAATTCTGAAAACTGCCAAACACTATAAAAATAATTTTTATGCTTTATGATAATTACAGTAGTAATATTAGCGATCATATAAAGAGCGCTTCCTATGCCTATGTGCCAAGCATTGTGTTATTTTTATTTTTATCCGTTATCTCATTTACTTTTCACCATCACCTTATTAATTTCATTACTTGCATTATACAGATGAAGAAATCAAGAACCAGAGAGGTTAAATAACTTGCCCAAAGTTACAGGAGCCAGATCCTGCTCCTAATCCAGGTCTTTTTGGCTCTAAACTCCACATTCTTAACCTTAAGTGAATACTGCCTGAAGGCAGGCATAATTCAAACAGATTTTGAGATTACAGAGCTATTCATATGAAATACTAGGTTTTTTTTTTTTTATGTGAAAGAGTAATTTTTCTACTTTGTTTTCTCGCATAAGGACTTTTTTAAATAAAATAAACCGAGCACTCTAAATATTATTAATATATCCTTCATGTATATAAAGCCATAAACTTGTTATCTGCTAATATCTATGGTCTTAGATTTCCATTTGTTAACTTGAATTACATTTATTGTACTACAAATTATAATTCTATGCAAGGAGACATTCTTCTTACAACTTTTGGTGAGTTATATTTCAAAAAAAAAAAAAGAACAGACCTACTGGATATAATCCTTTATAAACTTTTTTTTTTAGCGTATTCTTTATAATACCTGTAAGTGGACCAACATTCCAAGCAATGTTGTTGCACCAGCCAATAGCCTGAACCCAATGAACAGTGCCTGCATTTATCCAGACCAAATCTCCAGGTCGCTGAATAAACCTATACACTGGAACGTTTGCCTCATAAAGATCTTCAAGGTTGGGCCACCAAGAACCCATTAGGAAATTCAAATTATTTCTGAAATAAAAAAAAAATAATGCAAATAATGGAAATAGATCAAGTACATTAAGAAGCCCCTAGTAAGACCGGAAGAAAAACATCACATTTTTTTTTTTTTAAATAAACACTTGTTCACTTTATTGAAACATAATTGCTCGTGCAAACAGATCTGCTGTATGTATGTAAACAGTGTGCAATTATGGTCGAGTACTAATACTAAATGACTAAGGATCAGTATTACTGTCTTTTTTTTTTTGAGACAAAGTCTTGCTCTGTCGCCCAGGCTGGAGTGCAGTGGCTCCATCTAGGCTCACTGTAATCTCAGCCTCCCAAGTAGCTGGGATTACAGGCGTCTGTCACCATGCCTGGCTAATTTTGTATCGTTAGTAGAGACGGGGTTTCACTATGTTGGCCAGGCTGGTCTCAAACTACTGACCTCAGGTGATCCGCCTGCTTCGGCCTCCCAAAGTGCTGATATTACAGGCATGAGCCACCATGCCTGGCCCAGTATTACCATCTTAAATTGATTTTTCAAAGACCCAAATGAAATCCAAAGCTACTTTCAAGTAATACATATATTAACTTTTAATAAAGACTATTTTTGACTGAAGCCTTCTCCCTGGAGCACCTAGAAATCCCTAAAAGGTAAATGGAAGGTGGAGTTGACATCAAGTCATTTAAATCCATAAACAGGAGCACTGTGACAATACAAGTACCAGGAACTTTCCTTAATTTCTGAGGAAAAGGACACAGAATGTCAATCTCTATACAGTTTTGATGATTACCTGATTAAAACTATGCAATTGAAAACAACTTTATCAAAAACAAACAATCACACAAATGCACAAATAATCATGACTACTACTACCAATATATTTTGGAAACATTCCATAGATCATATTATTAAGTTTTTATTTTAAGATCTAGGTTCTTATTCCCCACCATGATATGAAGTACTTTTTAAACTACACAGAAACTTTTTCCATAAAATAACTTTATAAAATTGAATTAACTACTTTAAATTTCATATTTTGGGGAAGGAAGAACTTAGAGAGTAAAAATGTTCCTTAAGATCTAAGAAATAATATCGATTTTATTTGTCTTGTGCTACAGTGCATGATAAAGTATACTTTACAATTGTTTTTACTGGTTTAAATTTTATTTTTTATCCAGAAAAAGGGTTGGCAAACTATGGCCCATGGGCCAAATTCAGCCCACTGCGTGTTTCTGTAAACAAAACTTATTAGAATACAGCTATGTCCATTCATTTGTTGTACTATCTCTCACTATGTCTCTGCTACAGTGGCACAGTTGTGACAGAGAGCATGTGACCTGCAAAGCCAAAAATATTTATCATCTGGCCCTTTATGGAAAAAAAACTGCCAAACTATGATCTAGAAGGAACCTTGGCCTCTCTTTCTTTCTCTTGAAAAATGCAAGGCTACTCTTTAAAGTTTAGACTAGAGTGCAAATGGTAGTCTAACTGCAAAAAGATAAGGATTGGCTTATTGTGTGTGACAAGGCCAAGCAGATACAGTCCAGAAAAAGTTGGCTATAAAGCAAAAAAAATGGCTATAAACAAAAATCCTAGGCTTATTTCATCCCTGTATTGCCATTACAAAATTACAGAAAACTTTTTATCCAAAAGCAAGTAATCCCAAATAAACCCCCAAAAAAACCAAGAAACAAAAAAAACAAACTTGCCAAAAAGTACGCATTGTTTTAATCATATATTCAAAAGAATGGTTATTTCAAGACAGGTATTATTTAAAGCCATAAAATAAATTAGAGACAGTATACAGTCACTATCAAAAACAATAATCTTTATGTGAAACAAAATTACAAGTGAAATGCTGAAGAAGCAAGTACTACTTTCACAACTGAGTTATTAAATTTACCTAACCCTTCCTACTAACTTGGTATTTTTATTATCCCCATGCTCAAGCTTTTCGGACATCATCTGCCTAGTCTAATTATCTTTTTTTTTCCCAAGACACCTCTCCATTTAGATAGGAAAGAAAACTATACCCTAAAAAATAGCCAATCCCTACTCAGAAACAATGAACAAGGATCACTATACTATAGCTCCAACAACATAGTATTAACTCAAAGTTTAAGAAATAAAAATCTTTCTATATAGCACAATGGAGATTTCCCATATGACAATGTTCTTTCACTGCTGCTACTAGACTGCTGGTACATAAAAGAAAGTATAGGTTAAAGTAGATTAGGTTATTTCATCAGTACATTAGAAACTTTAAAACTCCTTATCTTTGGCTTTCTTACAGTGAAAGAAACCAATATATGAATAGTGAAGACAATATAAGGTAATTATCTCTTGTTTGCATATAAGGAAACAATGAGTTAATATCCTTTTTTTGGTTTTCCAACTATGATACACTTCTTACTAAATACAAATATTTACAGCAAAGATTCTTAAACCAAAGCAAGAAATGAGAAATTAGTATGGGGCTGGGCACGGTGACTCACACCTGTAATCCTAGCACTTTGGGAGGCTGAGACGGGCGGATCATGAGGTCAGGAGTTCCAGACCAGCCGGGCCAACATGGTGAAACCTCGTCTCTATTAAAAATACAAAAATTAGCAGGGCATGGTAGCACACACCTGTAACCCCAGCTTGAACCTGGGAGGCAGAGGTTGCAGTGAGTCGATATTGCACAATTGCACTCCAGCCTGGGCAACAGAGAAAAACTCCATCTCAAAAAAATAAATAAGTAACTAAATAAAGAAGTTAGTATGTGGAATATATGTATAATTAGTTTTCAATGTAATCTCATATGTAAATGTTTTCTTTTTCCCTTTTATCTAATTGGGATGGGGGTATAACACCAAATGTGTATATAATTTTATCCTAATTTTCTAATGTTATTACTAAATGAAAATATCAGGTCCTTATATAAAGTATTTTTTAGAAAAGAAGAAATAAGGTTCTAGCTAGACAAATGATCAAATTGAAACCAATTAAAAAAAATTTCCAAAGTACTCTTTGATCGAAGACATAGAAATAAATAAAGGCTATTTCTGGGATGTTAAGGAAAGGAACTAGCCAAGTTCTTTCAACTAGAGAAAACAAAATCTAGGCTGGACGTGGTGGCTCATGCCTGTAATCCCAACATTGCAGGAGGTCCAGGCGGGTGGATCGCCTGAGCTCAGGAGTTTAAGAGCAGCCTGGGCAACACGGTGAAACCCCATCTCTATTAAAAAATAAAAAATACGTAATACATTTTGTACAATTTTTTCAAAGAAAAAATTGTCAGTTCGAACAAATTCTTCTTGGAATATACACATTTCAAATGAATAAGTATGCATCATTTTAAAAATTAAATAACTCAACTTTTCTATCTTCTAAATTCATGGGTACTACTATTCCATGAAGTGGTTTCATGGCATCTTTCCTAAAGTATTTCCAATAACACAAAATATGAGATTTGGAATCAAATCATTTAAAATGAATTCTTTGCCAAATATAAGTGAATACTGACAATTTATCCATTAGGATATCCAGCTTGGTAAGCTGTCCTTTACAATTACTGCTTTCTAATATATGTTTTAAGAAAATTTACTTTGGAAACCTACTTTTCACAGAAGTCATTCAGAACACCCCAGTAACCTTCAGGAACAACAAACCATTCACAGTCACCTGGGCCAATATTTATATTAACTGAACAGAAGTTGTTATTTTCTTGATGACCTGAAATGTGAAAAGAAAAAAAAATTGGAGCTCCAGTGGCACAATCGGTTAGCACACGGTACTTACACAGAGAAAAAAAATCACCATACTACAATTCTATAGAAAAATGGGTCTTGACAAACAAAACCTTACAAATGCTTAACAGAGAACACTCTAGTAGTATTTAGTTCTTCAGTTCTTCATTACTGTAGCATTTTTGTGTCAACTCCTAACTTAGAGTTTCTATGACAGGGAGTATAAATCATGGTTAAGAGATTGGGCTCTGGAGCCATGCTCCTTGGCTTAGTTATGAACCTGGGCAAGCTGGTAAACCATTCTGACTCAGTTTCCCTACATGTAAGAACAGATAATAACGATCTCTGTAAATTGTTGGGCTGTTTTGAAGATCGATAAACTAATGAATGCATATAACAGTGCCTAATACAGATGCTCCACGACTTACAGATGGGACTAAGTTGAAAAAGCATTTAATACTCTGATAAACCCACCATAAAGTCCAAAAATGGTAAGTTGAACCATTTCAAGTTGGGGACTGTCTATACACAGTAAGCAATAAATATTAGGTATTATAGATATCATTACCATTTTTTCCTTGTGAACTAATCTCCAGCAACAACGTGTTTACCCCATAATGAGGTACTGAAAATAATGTTTTTTGCCCAATATTTATATTAGTGTCCAATGACAGAGTAGAAAGCAGAACACAGTTCTTCCATCATTTGTTCCAGAACTCTTTGCACTTTATCTGACTATGGATAAAATATCACAGAATTGGGCTTCCAATGGTCTGAGGATAACAACTATAACAAGCAATAGTTCTAATCCTGGCTGTACATTAGAATCCTCTGGGGACCTCTGTTAAAATCCCACCCTCATGCCTGGATCTGAATCCTAGAGAATAATTAATTATAATACTTTAAAAAAAACTTCCAGGTGTGGTGGCTCAAGCCTTTAATCCCAGGACTTTGGGAGGCAGAGGGAAGGGTAACTTGAAGTCATTACATGAACCTCAAAACAAGCAGGCATGGTGGCATGTACTTGTAGTCCTAGCTACTTGGGAGGCAGGAGAATTGCTTGAGCCTAGGGGTTAAACAAGGTTACAGTGAGCTATGATCACATCACTGCACCCTAGTCTGGGTGATATAGCAAGACCCTGACTCCAAAAAAAAAAAAAAAAAAAAAAAAAAAAAAAAAAAAAAAAAAAAAAAAAAAAAAAAAAAAAAAAAAAAAAAAAAAAGGACCAGGAGAATAAAACGAGCAGACGGGATGGGAACCACTGACCCATATTACCCAGAAGCAAGCATAGCTCTATTTTGAAATAATTTTTAAGCACAATGCAGTAAGAATGTGAACAAAGTAGGAAGCAGTCTGGGTTTCAAACCATGGCTGCATCACGTAGCAAAGAGAAGCACCTGAGGGAGACTGGTGCAGCCCACAGTACATTGGTATAGCTGAACTGGTTATCGATAGTATCTCTTCTAACTGATCAGTGCTGTGGTTGTAGCAATTGTTAAATATTTTGAATATCACCCTGTGAAATTTCATGCCAATGCAAAGGAGCATGAAGAAGATGGTACTTTAGTACTGGACAGAAAATTTAAGTCTAAAAACAATGTAATTCATTTTACAAATAAAGAAAAAGACGTAAAGAAGAAATGTAACTTGCCAAAAGTGACAAACCTAATTAGTGGCAAAGTCTAGACTAGATATTAGAACGAGTCTAGTAATGTTTTCACATCATGAAGTTTTTTTTAAAACTGTGAGTTGTGATCCACTTAGAAATTTGCAATCTACACTTTATTGTTTAAATGAAACAATGGAATAGATTGGAAAACGTATTCTTCAATGAAACCACTGCTGTACACATACATGTGCATTAGGTTACAAATAAAATATACTATTTATTGTTACTGGGGTTAAAAAATAATTCAAAAACACCACACCCCCATCACTTTCTGTAACAGATGAGATCAACAATAGAGTCTTGAGGCCAAAAGAACTTATTTCCCAGTGCTGCTTCAATGACTCCTTTCCAGATTAAACTGTTATAATGTTTCTGAGCTATTACACCAAAAAAAATAATGAAAAGGGGAAAAAATCTTAATCAGAGCCTAGTTAAAAAGTACAATATTATAACAGGAACAACCCTTTCAGTTTTATTCATTATGAATGACAAGATTCCAGCTGTCTTTGCATGTTTCATATTTTGATTTTTGTTTTCAATTTTAACATGATATGTTAGTTCATACAAATTACCTGGTGTTCTGCTCCCTGGAACTTTCATGTATAGCTGAACTGTGTTCATGCCCAGTATGGTATGACCAACATGGCTTAGAAGATTTCCTGCTGATACTACACGCACAAAAGCAGGAAGTTTAGTCAGCTCGTGTAGCTGCAACTTCCACCTGCAATAAAGTAACACATCAAAAGTGAAACTCTGCTACAAATATCTGTGGAAGTTTATCATTTCTTCAAAACCCTTGTGTTCCAATCAGAAAAACAATTAAATCAATAAATATTTTACTTTTCCATAGGAAAATGCTTAAATTTTAAAATTTTTCCAAAGAAAATTTTCCAACAAAATAGGCATAAAAATTATTGACCAAGTAAATAAAAGGAAAAAAACCTTTCTATTTTTATAGTTATATGATTATATTTTATAAATACACTTTCATATAACTATTTCATATAATTAAAAATATAATTTTGTGATTATGTAATTAGCATATAGTCAGAATCTTGATGAAAAACTGTACAAAAGTTTTAAGTAAAAACAAAATTTGGCAGGGTGCAGTGGCTCACAACTGTAACCCCAACACCTTGGAAAGCTGAGGTGAAAGGATCCCTTGAGCCCAGGAGTTCAAGAAATGCCTCAGCAACACAGTGAGATTCCATCTCTATTTTTGGAAATAAACTTAAAATTTTTAATTGTAAAATGTAGCAAAAATTTAGCTTAAATTCATGTCAACTTAAAAAAAAATGACAAGAAATGAAACAGAAGAGGAAATTGTAGAGAATTTCCAATCTTGCTCAGGATAGCTCTTTGCATCAGTTCACAGAAATATGACTACAAAGACTTACTTTTTGTCATCGGATAGGTCAATATTGGTCCCAAACTTTATGGTTTTAAAGGGTCCTTTCCTCCTCCTCCCAGAACTTAAAAAAAGAGACACAATATTAGAAACATACCTTTTAAAAAGAAATACTAAGTGGATACTAAAAATGACTTACTTATCTGACGATGTAGATTCACTATCTGAGTGGTCTTTATGATGACTTCTTTTTTCATTTTCTTCCTATAGATTAAGCAAAAAGCAGTCTAGTTTAGTATTCTACAACTGGCAATCCTTTCCACCATACAACTGAAAAAAAGTTCGTATCTAGATTGAATAGTATTATTCATGTTTTGAAACTAAGTTTCGTGTTTTTATTTTTTAGAGACAGGGTTTGACTCCCATTGACCAGGCTGGAGTGCAGTGATACAATTCCAGCTCACTGCAACCTCTGCCTCCTGGACTCAAACGATTCTCCTGCCTCAGCCTCCTGAGTAGCTGGGATTACAGGTGTGCACGACCACGCCGAGCTATTTTTGTATTTTTGGTAGAGACGGGGTTTTGCCGTGTTGCCCGGGCTAGTCTCAAACTCCTGAGCTCAAGCCATCTACCCACCTCAGCCTCCGAAAGTGCTGGGATTACAGGTGTGAACCATCATGCCTGGCCTTGAAACTAAGTTTCTATAGGCCTCCTACACATGAAAATTTCTTCAAACACCACATTAAATAAATACCAAAGTCAAATCTCATTGGCATGGCATCCAATTTCCTTCACTAGCCACAAAGTTATACTACATATTCTCATACCTGTCCCATTTTCAAGAGGAGAGAAAACCTGAGGAAAGTTGAAAGGCCTAGGACATCTCATCTTGATTATAAATGATGTAAGGTAGCAGAGGTGTCTGCATGTGTCCATAGCTATATATGTATAAGGGTGGAAGGTAAGATACTTTTTATTCTATTTCCCCATAAAGATATTTACTTCATCAACCCATAAGTTTGTTCAGATTTTACTAAAAGCAAACTGAGGCTAGGTGTGGTGGCTCACGCCTGTAATCCCAGTACTTTGGGAGGCCGAAGTAGGTGGATCCCTTGAGGTCAGGAGTTAAAGATCAGCCTGGCCAACATGTTGAAAACCCATCTTTACTAAAAATGCAAAAAAGTTAGCTGGGCGTGGTGGCACGTGCCTGAAATCCCAGCTACTCAGAAGGCTGAGACAGAAGAATTGCTTGAACCTGAGAGGCGGAGGTTACCAAGATTATGCCACTGCACTCTAGCCTAGGTGACCGAGGGAGACTCTTGTCTCAAAATAAATTAAATAAATAAAATAAAAGCAAACTGCATAGCACTTATGAAGTCTTTTATATAACATAAAATGATGAGATGCATATAAAAATAATGTACCCTTTTAAAATCCAAAGTAAAATCATCTTTAAAATCCTAAAATAATCTTTAGGATGCAAATACTTACTCTCAATGATTCCTGGAATGAGGAGGCCTGGTACTGTGCATATTTAGCAATTGTAGTATGAGATCTATTACTTTCACAATGCCAGATTTTCCTTGTTCCAGTGGGATCCCAGTTTTCATCTGCTGGCTGCAACAACTGTGTCCTCACTTCTACCATATGTTCATTGTTAGCTTCCACCAAAGTTTTAGTAGAGAAAAGTCCCAGGTCTTAATAAACATAAATGTAGTTAAAAAATGAAAATTATCTTTGGGATAATATTTTAAGTGCTTTTTTGTTTTGTTTTGTTCTTTTAAAGAAGAAGGTAAAGTATTTTATGGCACTGTATCAGTTCCCATAAAAACCAACTAAGGCCTCTACACAACCTTAGCTATGTGCCAATTTTGCAGAACCATATGCTGAAGCCCTGAATCTAACTGCTATGTCATCTCATCCGAAAAGAATTAAGTGTGTAAAGACTGAAATTTCACTTATTTAATTTCTGCAGATGCCCGGAAATAGTTATGGGGCTATAGTATTTATTAGTAGCATCAAATTTCACCAACATTTTATAATCAAATTTTTTCTATTAACCTAAATCACAATTATGTAAATGGACCAAAATAACAGCTAAATTTAAAAACCATCACAAAATTGCCAGTAACCAATATCACCATCAATATTATTCATATCACGGATTAAAGAAGTGATACACACACTCTCTCTCTTTCTTAGTACTAAAAAAAATTTAAATAAAAATACAAAAAAAAGTTTCTGTCAGTGCTTGAAAAGTTAAAAAATAGCAAAGAAATAGACAAACTTTTTCCTTTTTTTATTTAAGGCTTACCTAACTTAAGAGCTCCAGCAAGGCCACGTATTACTGTAACAGGGTTGCTTGGATTTGTACAAAATTGATGCAATGGAGGAAAGAAAGCATCACGTTTATTTTCCAACTGTAAAATTAAAATATGTGGTTAGATCTCAGGAAAACAGAGCTTTTATTTAAATATTATGCTCCAAATTAATATTCTTTTTTTTTTTTAACAGTTTAAGACATTTTATGGGGTGATATTTCTATCTGACAGTATCTCATCACTATGACTTTTGAGTCTAGCTTCAGTTAGATAGTAACCACATACATTTCTCCTGTCCATTTTATCATGACTAAAATATGCAGAAGAAATGAAATTGAAATTAAACTTAAAAATCAAAGTGTTTTACATATTATTAAGTCTTGAAAAAAAGAAAATCCTGACACATGCTGAAACATGGACAACCTTGAGGACATTATGTTAAGTGAAATAAGCTAGTCACAAAAAGACAAATATTGTATAGTTCCATTTACATGAGGTATCTAGAGTAGTCAAAGTTAAAGAAAGAGAAAGTAGGATAGTAGTTGCCAGGGGCTGGGAGGAGGGAGAAATGGGGAGTTGTTCAATGTGTAGTTTCAGTTTGTCAAGACGAGAAAGTTCTGGAGATTTGTTGCACAACAATGTGAATATGCTTAACGGTACTGAACTGCACACACAGAAATGGTTAAGACGGTAAATTTTATGCTATGTGTCTTTTAAAAATTTCAATAAAAGAAGAAAATAAGAAAAAAAATGTCTAAACAAATATTATCAAAGAAAGCAGACTGAAGAGGACCCATAAAAGATAAAAACTTAATCTTGAATTTTTCTCCTGAGACCTCACTTTAAAAGCTTTTTTTACATGTCTATCCCAGTTCTTCCCTTACATAACAAGGGATAAATAACAACTGGTTGGAGGAAGAATTAATGTGATAATATTTGGCCTCTAGGGGGCAAAGGGGTTAAATCTATAAAACAAACTCTAGTATCATTTTATAGATTCAGTATCATTATACATACACTACCCTAACTTTATACTTACAAAAAATTTTAATTTGGGATAGAAGCAGGAAAATGAAAGGAAATAGGGTTGGAAGATCTATTTGGAAGAAACAGAAATAGGAATTGCTTTGACTGAACTCTTATCAACTTCCTATATGAGATTCCTATATTTCTATAAAGCAAAACTAATTCCTAGTTTTAAATATTTTAAATAACCCATTAAGTTTTTTAGTAACATATATCTACCATGACACATTCTCAAACATCTTTTATGAAGGCAGTATTTTTTTTAGGGGGTAGATACATAAAACAGAATGAATGTTAAGGTCCACATAACTAAGTAGAATGCAGATTTAAAACCCAGTTTACTCAAAAAAGTTATACTTTTAGGTAGTATTTTCCTAATACTGCTTAAAATTAGGGCAATAAAAAGTATTTCTCATGATTCTAATATCATCACAGTTAATAGCTGAGAAGGTCTTTTAAAAATGCTATTATAAAATATTTTTGAATATATCTTTTTTCCCCCCAAAAATATTTAACCTGCTGCCAATACTTGTAATGTTTCCTAAAGGGCATCCATATAAATTTAAAGAAAGATTTTATGAAAGACAGGTAGCAGCAAACACTGTTTTATTTCTAGTCAGTCAATTCAGACTCACGTAAATACTAGGTGTAGGTGGATTCAACTTGTCCTTTGGCAAGGGAGGGTATGGTGAAGATGGTGGTCTTGGAGGCGGACATTTATCCAACAAAATGCTACTGTTAGATAAGCCATTTTTACCTAGATTCCT